GTTGAGGCCTAAACTGAAGTTGGAATTCCTCCAAATAATTTTCATTTGTTTCTGCCAGTCATCTGGGGGCATTACCAGCTGGAAACATTCTAAGCTAAGCTCTCCACTAAACTCCTTGAGGCTTTTCAGACCCATTGAGGGGCCAGTTTGTACTTATATATTCTCAAGGAAATGTTTACTTATTCTTCACTTACCTAGCATTACTGGAGAATTTCCTTGGTGTTTCCATCTTTATTTCACTCCTACACATCTCAGCTTTGTGTAGGGGTATCCTATTAGGTAGGTTTCCTTCCATAGGTGGATCTTCAGTTTTAACTAGTATCCCCCATGGCCCAAGAAGCTGTCAAATGGAAACCCAGTATTTCAGGATTCAGCAGAAATCCTCAGAACAAAACTAGGCTTGGCACTTATCTTTTATGGTTCCTGGTTTACTCTGTTTTTGGATTTGGCTGCTTTGCCAGGTCATCAATGCAAAAAAAATGTATATACATAATACATGTAATATATATAAAAAATATACATAAGATTTTATTTTATCCAATTTTTAAAAATCTGTTCAAAGGGTGGTTTAGAGTAACTAATCTCCAGAAATATACATCCAGGTCTCCATCTTCCTTTAATGGTAAACTCAACTTTCTTGCTTTCCACGTTGTAGAATACATTCTGTTTTAACCCTGTTCCACTGCTTATAGATCTGTGATGTTGAGTCTGCGTTCTCTACTGTGTATGACTATGCTCTTTTGCTACAGTGAAAGGCTAAACTGATTTAGTCAGTACATGTAGCTAAACCAGGCCTACACTGCTTATCTGGCATTGGTACAGGTACATTGTCTCAAGCTTCTGAAAACCAACAAACGAACAAACAAAACCAGTAAATGGCCTCTAATAAACCAAGGGCTGCTGTATCTAGTGTAGAGCAAAAGGACTGTCAGGGAATCACTGAAGTATACAATGCTTTTATTTATCTCCTCTGTCAGTGTTTTTTTAGATGTTGTTAGAAGGCTGATTTTTTGAGAGGTAAAGCTGTATTGTACATAAGAAGCAATTTCAATAACTAGGGTTCTGCTTAGTTATCGTAACAAGTCTCATCTATTTGAAATCAAATGTATTGATTTAATAATAACTGATTTTATAAGTAAACACACATGTGAATGTCCAAAGGTGACTGTTTCTGATGACTGTTATTTCACTAAAGGAACAAAGTTCTGACAAAAAGCACATTGCTGATTCCTATAATTAAGGAAAGGTTAACAATTAGAAGAGATAAGCAGCTGGGAGAGAATTAAAATCAGAAAAAGGAAAAGTGAGGAGAGACCTGCCACTTGAGAGGAAAAACAGATTGTGCTTTTTTGTGCTACCAAAAGCAACAGTAATTCATCATGAGTGTGATAATAGATTTAGCATCATGGGTATGGAGAAGCTTTATTTTTTGTGCAGAGTAAAGTTGGATGATTTTCCCAGCTATAGGGTATTACAGTAAAGAATTACTTTAAACGTCACTAAGTAAAGGCCCCAAATTGAGATAGAATCATTGGCAAATTGAGAAAATCAAAATCAAATCAATAATTTGCATGCCTAACGTAAAATTTTATGTCACAAAAATGTGCCAATGAGGTCTATCCTTAGCACAGACTTTGGGTTGAGCCATAACTTTTTTTCCCCTGAATCAATTTTTCTCCCTTAATCATAAGAAAAAAAGAAACTATAAGAGCTAGCCAGATGCTTCAATCCTGAAGGAAATTGTTTTAGTGTAATCCAAAAAGAGGAAAAAAAGCCAGGAAATTTGGAAAGCTCAGGCCATTTTATACCACACCCAGTCTGTTGCACGTAGGCTGTGTGACTTGTTTGGCAACTTCCAAAACAGCTATATGTACCATAAAGGTTCAGCATTTAAGTCTTAAATACAGTATGTGTGGCCTGAATTGGCTTCCACCAGCTGACTATCTTATTTCATGCAATACAAATCAACCACAATGCTAAATATCCTTTTAACTAAATCATACTGTGCATAAAACTGTCAGACAAGCAAATGACAGGAGAATAGAACTCTTAGATTTGAAGATGCAAGAACCAGTTACTGACTCATCAAAGAAGAAGCTGTATTTGTAGTTAAGTCCTCAACTGATTAAAGTGAAACTAAATAATCCTAAAAATTCAGCTAACACCATAGCAAATCAGAGATGTGTTTAGAGATTTAGCAAGAGAAAAATAATCAGTGACACTTAAAACACCTGATAAGCTAAGGAGGCCATCTTCACCATAGGTACAATCAGATTCTACCTCTTATCTCAGGTTCAAAGGATTTTAATACTGTTGAGTTCCTTTCCTACTAACATCTTTGTTCATTGGGAATTTAAACTATTAAAAAGATAGAGCTTTGTGGTGCAGAATGTTTTCTATAAGCAATACAATTTGTTACAAAACAAAATTTTATTTTTACCATATTGGGAAGTAAGGTTGTCCCTGAATGAGTTTTTTACTTTGTTCACTTTGTAGCCTTAACCTACAAAACTTTCTGCTCTGCTATTTCGAAACAATAATATGAAGTTTTTGGTGTGTGTAAAAGTGGAAGATTACTACATTTGAAATATAATATGATAACGCCGGTCCTAAATGACATTAGTCTGTTCCAGATTTCCCTTTGATGTAATTTGTTAGTTTAGGCTGGCCTACCCGAACTTTAAACGCAAAATGAAACAATCCTAGATTATTGAGAGACGACTTTCCAAACTTAAAATGGAAAGGGAGCAGTAGCTCCTATTCCCACTCTATAAAAATCCAGATCCTATTTTTGTCATTTGTTCTTTAGAAATGAAGGTCTAATAAGTATAACACTTAAATGGTAATATATTTACTTCTTTTATTCATTTTCAAAACCAAGACTCTGATGGAACATTTGTGTTTCTAATTTTTTTCCCTCCCTGGCATGTCGCCAGCTTGCTATTTTCCAAATGACATTTTGTTTCAGGGCTTTGTTACAATGCTAATAATTTTCTTTATTTCCTTGCTGCCCAGATTCAATAACTTACTTTGAGCCATAGCAATGTTTTAAGTGTTGTACCAAAATCTAAAATTAAATGAAGTTGTTTGTTGATCTTGTAATATAATGTCATCATTTATATTTGTGCCACAAATTGGTGTTCTTCTTCTTCTTTTATTCAGTCTCCTCTATTTTATAATATTCTAAATCAAGTCAAATTTGAATGTGCACAAATAGAATTTCTGTGAATTACCTTTCTATCAGATCTGGGTAAGTGGCAATGCCTAAATAGAAGACACTGATCATAATACAGTATATATTTTCATGTTAAATGAATTTTTCAAAATGTTTTACAGACTGAAAGCATTTCCATGTGCCATAAAAACTGAATTTAAAAATTTTTTACATAGAAAAATCTATATTAATCTGCAATGAGCTTCTTTATTTTCTATGGTTAACATGAACTTCTACACAGAGGAAAGATACTATGTTACAATAAAGAACCTCTAACTCAAAAATTGCATTACCTGATACAAAAGGGAAATATTAAATGACACCTGACCCCTTCTAACCTTTTTATGTGAAATTAATAAAAGTATTTTTTTATTTTAAACATCAACCAGAACTAAATCTAATGGCCAGAATCTTAACAACAACTGTATTTTCAATCACACTTCAGGGAAATATGTTTCCATATCTATTTCTGATATGACTATAGTATTAATAAACATGCAGTCTTACAAGTAATTTTAAAATTTGTATCCAGGTTTTATCTTATTTGTGATTCTAGTTTGGAGAATGGATGGCATTACATATACAACTAATTGACTAACATAAAAATTCATAACTCCATGTACCTCCAAATTAAAAAAAAAAAATTCTGGAAAAGGAAAAACAATGGAGACAAAAAATCAGTGGTTGCCAGGCGTCAGAGGAAGGGGGTGATAAATAGGCAGAGCACAGAGGATTTTCAGGGCAGAGAAAATATTCGATATGATATTACAAGGATGGATATATGTCATAATATTTTTGTCTAAACCCATAGAATCTACAACACCAAGACTGAACCCTAAGGTAAACTATGGACTTTGGGTGATTATGATATGTCAATGTAGGTTCATTCTTGGTAATGAGTGTACCATTCTGGTGAGAGATGAGGGATGGCTATGCATATGTAGGGGCAACGGGCATATGGGAAATCTCTATACCTTCCTCTCAATTTTGTTGTAAACCTAAAAGTGCTCTAAAAAACTTTTTTAAAGTCCTTAATAAAGAATACATTTAATATTATATTTAAAAGAAGCTTTTCAAGTTCAATTCCAAAAATTTATAATAAACACGTTATACCCTGTTTACTTCCTATCAAGCATTTTATCATCAAGCTAGTCACACAAGTTATTGAGAAAAATAGAATTTTTCCTAGACTCCCTGTTATCCCTTACCTTCTACCATATTCATTTCATCAGGTCTTACTATGTTTAAAACAAACTCAGAAAAAAGAGATCAAATTTGTGGTTACCAGAAGCGGTAGGAAGGGGGAATTGGATGAAGGTGGTCAAAAGGTACAAACGTCTAGTGGTAAGATAAATAAGTACTAGGGATATAATTTGCAACATGATAAATATAATGAACACAGCTGTATCTTATATATGAAAGTTGCTAAGAGAGTAAATCCTAAGAGCTCTCATCACAAGGAAAAAACATTTTTTCTATTTCTTTAATTTTGTATCTATATAAGATGATGGATATTCACTAAACTTATTGTGGTAACCATTTCATGATGCTTGTTAAGTCAAATCATTATGCAGTACAATTTAAACTTACACAGTGCTATATGTCAATTATAGCTCAATAAAACTGGAAGAAAAAAGTTTATTTAGAAAACAAGTTTTAATATTTCTTAAATCTGTCCATTTTCTCTCATTCCTTTTATCCTTACCATAGTTTCATTTTTTTCTCACTTGAGCTACTCTGCCTACCTCCTTTCTCCACTAGCTCAAGTCTGTTTTGAGTACATTAACTACAGTGCTAATAAAATAGTTACTTCAATGTGGACACACTTTAGTAGACTCCAACCATCTACAGGATAAATTCCATGCTCCAAAGTATGACATACAAAGCTCTTGGTAATCAAGCTACTTGTTTTTTCTCCTTCTTATGGTATAAATCTAATTCTACCATAGCCTACGTTTTATTCAATAAATATTTATTGAACTGTATTTTGCTAAGTATCTCCTTCTTTAAATGACCTGTTCATGTACTTTGCCCAATTTTCATTGATTTTTTAAATTCATAAATGTGTATGTTATTATACTAAATGTTTTTTCTTCACCTATTGAAAAAACGTTTATCATCGTTAGTACATTTTTATATAACAAGTTCTTTAAAATTTTAAGTTGTCATCAATTTAAAATAGACCAAAATTTCTGTGACATGCCCCCCCAACTTCATCCAAACTTGTGGGTTTTGGTGCTATTACTGATTCACAGTGGCTAGGAAGAGACAGAGTAAGGGAGAGGCACAACCTTCTTGGTCCCCAGAAGCAGGTCCCAATGATTCGTATACCACCCATCTTTGTTTTTCACCATTTAACATCATATTATGTTCATTTACCACCATCTTCAAATCATCAGTCCTTCTGTGGATCGCCCTTCAGAGTGCCATCACCCTTTGGATCTTCAATATCCACCAGGCTGTTTCAAGACCTTTTAGACCTATAATCTACATCAGTCATATATTTGCAAGATCTTAGCCTTGTGCCTACTGTAGGCAAAATGTTATGCTAAGCCTTAGGGATACCAGGAAAAAATGAGCAAGATACCACACTAGTAGCATAAAGCACAAGTCTTGTGTTAACAGAGAAAGTCCCCTTAACTCCATAGAATATTGCTTTGCCCTTCAAGGCCTCTGCCAGTTCCAGTGATCTTTTCTGAGATCTATTTTTGCCTGACACCCCTGCCACATCTAATGCAGAATACTTTCTTGTTAAAATTCTTCCTTTAATTTTTATTATATCATCCCTCTTCTGATTCTCTTCTGACATCTCTGAATGAGAGAGATGGAATGCTGAGGAGGATAAAGCATAAACTTTATTACAGATCTTGCTTTGAATCATCATTGCTCTACCATTTATTGGGTGACTGGGGGCAAATTATTCATCTTTCTTAGTTGTAACTTTCTCATTTAAACTGCGTATGAAATGAGATAAAGTATGTAATGTCATTCATTCAATGGTTATTCCTCTGTAATTATATTTCCTTAGTTCTCTATCCTCTACTATTTTTTCTTCTTCCACTCCCCAAATTTTAGTAAGCCTTAAACTTTAATCCCTAACTTTCTACTCTCCTTTCTAAATTCTCTCTTTTCCTTAAGAATTACATGGAAGCCTATGCCTATATCAGTTTCTGTATGGCCATTTCCCAAATAGTAATCATCATGGGTTCACAAAGGTCTTATAAGGAATCATGATGTTAAATTAACAATGTTATCTGTTTCAGTATCTACTTAATATGTTAATAACTTTTTAAAAATATCCATCTAAAATGAAATCTGGAGAGCCTAAGAGTGCAAATGCTGTAAGAACGTACAGTGATTATTGGAAATCAGAGGAAGGGCCTCCATACATAGACACTGTCAGTTTATAACTCAGCAAAGCATTGCCAGTCATCATGAAGGTATTAATCATTGCTTAGTTTTAAATCATCTGTTTTTGGTCCCTTATTACCTAGTTTATACCCATAATCAGTCACTGGTTGAAGAAAGATAACACAAGAAAATAATAAAATACACATTAATGAGTAAAAGCATGATAAATGTGCAAATTTGCCTCAAAATGATCTTCAGACCCATTAGTTCAATCTGTCTGATCAAAATTCTTTAAAAGTGCACTAGTATTTCTTGTAGCTCAAAAAGCACTGCTAATAAAATAAATGACTGTGATGATTATATCCAATCTGGCCTTATTTTAACTGGTAATAAAAACCACTATCATTGTGACTTCCCTGGTGGCGCAGTGGTTGAGAGTCCGCCTGCCGATGCAGGGGACACAGGTTCGTGCCCCGGTCTGGAAAAAAAAAAAAAAAAAAAACACTATCATCAGTGCTATATTTGTGAAGACATACTAATAGGTAGCAACATTTTCTCTTATGTCACCATGAGAATAAAATAAAATAATTATGAAAACTTTTTGCTAAATTACTTTGTTACATGCCATAGGAAAATCAGAAAATAATTTTTTAAATTCCTGAGTTGGCAAAATCATATATTATTGTGAAAGAGATCATTCATCCAAAAAGGTTAGGAAATAATTATCTACATCAGTGATTCCCAAAGTATATTCCTCAGAACAGCACTTGTATGGAATTTTTTAATTTTAAGAATAAAGCCTTTAATGTTTTAGAAAAAAAAGTGATGCATATTTGGTTCAGAAAGTACATTGAAAAGTGCCAGGAAGAAACTAAAAAATCTACTACCATTCCATCATCCCAAAATAATCATTGCCAACTTTTATTGAACATTCTTACGCTCATGTACAGCTTGCAAAGGAGTCCTTCAGAAGGGCAAATATAAATAACTTCAGGAAAAAATGGTGGAATCATGATTATTTTTAAATTTAAATTTTTTAAAAATAAATAGAAGGCAATACTGAAATTCATAAAAATTTAATCTTCACAGAAGATATGGTTACTAAGTAAAAGATCTCTCTAAAGGTAAGAAAAAAATTATAAAAATCTTTGATGTCACTTTTGAAACTATATGTTTTACCTTTAAACCGTCTCCTTACAATGAAAGATTAAACAGATTAACAATTTTTTCCACTCTAACCTAATTTTTGTTATATTTTCTCTTTAGACTATCAAAGCTTACATTTATATTTTGTTCATTTTTATTTTGTAACAATAATTCCCAGTTGCCTTAGTTCTAGATTTATTTTTTAAATAGAAGTAATAAAGATACTGCATCACAGGTATTTAAGATTAAATGAGAATTACATAGAAATCCCTTATAAATTGTAAAGTGCTAGAGAAATATTTGTTCTAATAATACTTCCCCCCATTCTTTCTCTATACTTACTTCTCTAAACTCTCATCCTAGCAAAAAAGGCCTAGCCACTGTGCCTCTAGAAGGTGGTTTTCTCCTCTCTAATACTGATGCATAAATTGTTACCCCAACCTAGAATGCCAACACTTGATCTAAAACTACCCATCTTTCAGTATCAAGGCCAAGTCTCTCCCCTTCCCTCAAGTTTTTAAAGAACCTTCTGAACTGCAGTCACATCTTCATCTGAAGCTGTACGGCACTAACATATTAAGTCACCAGGCAATAAGAATTACTCACATATTATTCTACTGGACAGTTATTTCCTGTGTACACTAATAGAATTTTCATTCTTATTCACTGTCTTTCAAACTAAATTGTAAGCATCTTGAGGGCAAGATCTAAATATTATATTTTTGTCGCCATATTCACTTCTGTTTTATGCATAATGGTACCACCAGTGTATCCATTTCATAAGCTTCCAGAGAACAGGGAATATAATTGTGCAACACAGTTGGGGTAAACACAAAGTTAAAAGTTAACTTAGTAGATATTTAACTAAACTATGCCTCAGAGACTGCCAGTGTTTAAAAAATAAAATGAATTACATAAATTAAAATGAACACAATTCACAAATCTAGAAATTATAATGAATATAATTTCATATGTCAACATTAAGGAGTTAATTCTCAGTTGTGTATATTAAGAATCAATGCTAAGAAGGTGTTTCTAGGTTCTTAATATTAAAAAGGTACTTCTTGGGATATATGAAGATAATCTTTACGAACATCAAATATTACAGGTTAATGTGGTAGATGTATATGGGTTTGGAATATTGGCTTGAGATAAATGTACACTAACTCTAAAATATACTAGTTGTTTTTAAAAAGAAATCCTACATATTAATGAGTTCACTTTTATTTTCTGTTCTGTTTCTCTCATAAAAGTTGAGGAAAATCTTTTTTAATTAGTTCATTTAGATTTTCACTTAGTTTAAGTAAATGAAAGCTTACAAAATGATATTGATGATAATGACAATTTTTCTTTGACCAGGAAAAAATAAGCATCATTCTAATAGCTAATTTCCCATATTAAAATTCTGCTTGAAAAGTGCATGTCAACTGACAAGACATAATATTTTAGTTTTTAACTTTTTGGTTTTAATATTATTATACAAGTTTATTACAATGCAAATATAGTCAATTATAGGTAGAGTAACTATGGCACACAACTGCAGTTACGTTTGGTGTTCTTGGAATATACGGGTCCAAGTAATAAGAAGCTACTACTTCATTGCCAAGAAGTCAGGTTTAATTTACTTTCTTTTTTCCTCCCTCTTCAACTGGCTGAAATACAAGTTCCACTGCAAATGCAACAACCAGCAAACACAGATGCCATCATAAATACATAATGCTGCCAAGTAGAAAACCCTACATTGACGAATAACAGAACTCCCTATAGCAACTGGAAGATATTCTGGGCAGCATATTTAAAGTCTTGAAGCTATATTATAAATAAAATGCATGTGTCCCTTGTAACTAAAAAATAAGTTCGTTTTTTTTTTAAACACTGACATTTACTATTACTCAATGGGTAATTTTTCTGTCTGGTTTATATTTTTAGTGGGTTGAGAAATTTTATAAATCTTTCATTCTGAACTTCTGTAATACATAACTGCTATCAGGGAGGCTTTGCTATGCCTTAAATAAAATTTGCCATACTAAATTTTAAAAAAAAAACCATGAAGAGTTTTCAAACTTTGCTAATTAAATTCATAGTCTGATAAGCTAATTTGACTGTTAAAGTTTAGCAACTGAATGACTCTCCTCACTGACTTCAGTTAGCTTGGAGACAAAATATGATATCAACAAATATTTATAAGCATTCCCTGTGGCAAAAGTATGTGTTAGATAATGTAAGGAAATGAAACTGAAGACAAGACCTCTACTCTGCAGGAATTTTTCCTCTGGATAAGTGTAGAAATCACCTATACAAGGACACAAATAAATCAAAGTGATATTTCACTAGAAAATCTGATCCCTTGTGGGATGTTACAAGAAGCATCATTTGCCCACAACTGTTTCAAATTTTGAATTCCCAAAGCAAAAGAGAAAATGATCTTTTAAAGCAGAGATAAGATAGAGTCTCAGAGATAAGATAGAACTCTCCAAATAGCTTTGGTTTCAAATCTAAAATATTTTGTACTCAATTTCATGATTTCTTCCCCCATCACATTCACTATGAAATGTCAATTCTGAGGAGTGACATCACCACGATGGCAAAGTAGGAGGCCTCAGACTCCATCTCCCCGCAAGGATCAACAATTAGACCGCTATCCATGAACAAAGCCAGCTCTGGGAGAACTCAGGAGTCCACTTAAGAAACTTTAGCAACACAGTGGAACAAAAACCCTGAGAATAAACACACAGAAAGAATAGGAAGAACAGCTTCATTTTGCCTCCCTCATCTCCCTAGGCCAGGAAGGAACTCCCCAGCTAGAAAGAGTTCCCCTCACTGGGAAAGAGAGAGCAGGGGTGAGTCATCAGCTTCCCCAGCCTTTCAGTTCACTATAAGAAGAATCCACTTCAGTTTCAGCCCACCAAGAGACTGGCGAAGCTGAGACATATAGATACAGCTAGGAATAAGGAAGAAGGGCAAGGGCTACCAGTATCAGCCACACAGTGGAAGTGACCATGATCCCCAGCAAACTCCTCTACAGAAGACCCGAGCAGATTTTGCTACTGAAGAAACCAGCACAACCACAACAGAACCCCTACAGATTTATCTGGCTTGTGCCCCACAGGTTTTCATGTTTACAGATGCCAAATGCCTGAGTATCTCTCCTCACTCCCCACTTCCCTCCCTATCAGAGCCTGGGATCTGCACTGGCATCCCGGCTCTGTGGCTGCATGAGTGCAAAACACAGCCTTAGACCCCCATGGCTGACCCCCAATGCCATGTGCACGCTTGGGGCTAGCTCCTCCAGCTGTGCACTTGTACACCTCCAGTTTGATTCCTGTCACCAACCTTTGCTGCATTGAATGCACCCATGGCAAGACCCTGCAGTCACAGGAGTGTATGCTGACAGCCAGGGCCCCGCAACTGCCAGTATGCCCAGTTGACCTTGGCATGCGCTGCTTGCCCTGGCTGCTATCACTATGTGTGTACCTGCAACCAGCCCCTATCATTACACAGGAACCTGCAGCTGGCCCCCAGATCCACATACCCCTGACTCCAGCCACCACCACTGGCTTGGTCCCTAGCCACTGGACCTGGAAGCACAGCTGAAGAACCAATAACCCTCGCAGCCACTGAAGATCCCCCACAGTGTTCACCAAGGACCACATAATTTCTGATATTATGTACTCCAGTTGGCCAAGCAATTGAGATGGTACACCCCTCCACAGGACCCAGAGCCACCACATGCATGCACACTTGGTGCCCTGAACCACTAGACCCAGGGTCACATCATGTTCCAGCATGCCCCACACAAGTGAAGGTCTTTTCTTACTGAAGTCAGTCCATAAAGTCTGGCAGAGGTGACTGCTTCTTCTAAAGTGCAGACACCTATGCAAGACTACTGGCATCATAAAGAATCAGGTAAATATGATACCACCAAAGGAACACAGTAAATTTTCAGTAAATGATGCCAAAGAAATGGAGATCCAGGAATTGCCCAATAAAGAATTCAAAATAATTGTTATAAAGATTCTCAGACAGTTGTAAGAGAACACAAATAATTACTGAAGTCAGGAAAATAATATAAGAACAAAATAAGAAGTTCAACAAACAGAAAACATGAAAAAGAGCCAAAGAAAAATTTTGGAACTGGAGAACACAATGACTGCACTGAAAAAGTCAATAAGAGCTTTAAGAGCAGATGGCACAAACAAAGCAGAAGAAAGAAATAGTGAGTCCAAACACAGATCATTTGAAATTATCCAGTGAGAAGCAAAAAAAAAAAAAAAAAGAGAATGAAAAGGAATGAAGAAAACCTACAGTACTAATGGTAAAAGATTAAGAGAAACAACCTAGGCATAACTGAAGTCCCAGAGGGAGAAAAGAGGGAGAAAGGGGTAGAAAACTTATTTAAAGAAATAATGTCTGAGAATTTCTTAAACCTGGGGACAGACTTGGACATCCAAATTCATTAAGTTAACAGGTCACCCCAAAATTTCAATCCAAAACAATCTTTTCCAAGACACACTATAATAAAACTGTCTAAAATCAAAGAGGGAACTGTAAAAGCAGCCAGAAGGAAAAAATATTTTTCTCTCATAAAAGGGAACCCCCATAAGGTTATCAGTGGACTTCTCAAACCTTGCAGGGTGGAAGAGAGTGAGATGATACCTTCAAAGTGCTGAAAGAAAAAAACTGCCAACCACAAATACTTTACCTGGCAAAGTTGTCCATCAGAAATGAAGGTGAGATAAACACTTTCCTAACAAACAACAGCTGAGGGAGTTAATCACCACTAGATGTGCCTTATAAGAAATGCTGAAAGGAGTTCTTCAACCTGAAATGAAAGGATGATAATTAGTAACATGAAAACATATGAAAATATACAACATACTGGTAATGTTTAGTATATAGTCAGATTCAAAATACTCTAGTACTATGATATGGTTGTGTGCTAACCACTTAACTCTACAATAAAGGTTAAAGGAAAAAGTAGTAAATATAGCTATAGTTACTATAATTTGTTAATAGATACACAATATAAAAAGATATAAATTGTGACATCAAAAACAAAATGTGGGGAGAGGAGTAAAAGGGTAGAGTTTTGTATACAATCAAAGTTAAGTTGTTATCAGCTTAAAACAGACTGCTATATCCATTAAGATGCTCTATGTAAGCCTCAGGATAAATGCAAAACAAAAAACTATACTAGATAAACACAACATAAAAAGAAAGGAATCAAGGTATACCGCTATGGAAAATAATCAACTTACAAAGGAAGACAGTTAGAAAGGAAGAAATGAACAAAAAAACTACAAAAGAGCCAGAAAACAATTAAAAAGATGACAGTAGTAAGTCCCTACTATCAATAATTTCTTTAAATGTAAATGGATTAAATCTCCAATCAAAAGGCATAGAGTGACTAAATGAATTTTTAAAAACCCAGACCCAACTATATGATACCTAAAGGAGACACATTTCAACTTCAAGGACACACATAGTCTCAAAGAGAAGGAATGAAAAAATATATATCATGTAAATGAAACCCAAGTGAGAGCAGGGTAGCTATATTTATATCAGACAAAATAGACTTTAAGTCAAAAACTGTAACAGGAAACTAAGGTTATTATATAATGATAAAGGGGTCAATTCATTAACAATTATAAATATACATGAACTCAACACAGAGTACCTAAATATATTAAGCAAATGCTAACATATGTGAAAGAAATAATAGCCAGCAATACAATAATAGGAGGAGACTTCAATACCTCATTTTCAACAATGGATATATCATGGAGACAGAATATCTATAAGGAAATGTGGAACTTAAACTGTACTCTAAACCAAAAGGACCTAAAAACATATATGGAACATTCCATTCAACAGCAGCAAAATATACATTCTCAAGTGCACGTGGAACATTTTCCAGAACAGATCATATGTTAGGTCACAAAAGTTTCAGCAAATTTAAAACATTGAAACCACACTGAGTATCTTTTTTGATCACAATGATATGAAACTGAAATCAATAACATGAGGAAAGCTGGAAATTTTACAAACACATGGAAATTAAACAATACACTCCTGAAAAACTAATGAGTCAAAGATGAAATCAAAGATAAGTTAGAAAATGTATTAAAACATATGATATTGGAAACACCACATGCCAAAATGTATGGGATGCAGTAAAAGCTATGCAAAAGAAAAGTTAATAACAATAAATGCTTACATTACAAAAAGAAAGATTTTAAATAAATATCCTAACTTTACACCTCAAGGAACTAGAAAAAGAAAAATAATTAAGCCCAAAGTTAGCAGTACTAAGCAGATAATAAAGATCTGTGCAGAAAACAATGAAATAGAGACTAGGGAAACAATAGAAAAATAAATCAGTGAAACTAAGAGTTGGCTTTGTAAAAAGATAAAATTCACAAATTTTAGCTAGGTTTTCCAAGAAAAAAGAAGAGTGGACTTAAATAAATCAAATTATAAATGAAAGAGGAGACATTACTACTGATACCAAAGAAATACAAAGGGTCCTAAGAAACTACTATGAACAATCATACACCAACAATTGGACAACCTAAAAGAAATGGACAAATTCCTAGAAACATACAACCTACCAAAACTAAATTGGGAACAAACAGAAAATCTGAACAGACCAAATACTAGTCAGGAGATTAAATCAGTAATCAAAAATCTCCTAACAAAGAAAAGCTCAGGAACTAATGACTTTACTGGTGAATTCTACCAAACATTTAAAGAATAATTAATGCCAACTTTTCTCAAACTCTTCCCAAAAACGGAAGAGGAGAAAACACTCCCAAACTTATTTTAGAAGGCCAGCATTATCCTGATACCAAGTCAGATAAGAACAAATCAATTCAGTAAAATCTTTATATAAAAATCAGTTGTTTCTATACACTATCAATGAACTATCTTAATAAGAAATAAAGATAACAATCCCATTTACAATGGCATCAAAAATAATAAAATACTTAGGAATAAATTTAACCAAGAAAGTGAAAGAATTGTACACTGAAAATTATAAGACATTGATGAAAAAAATTAAAGATACAAATAAATGGGAGATAGTCCATGTTTATGGATCAGAAGACTTAATATTGTTAAAATGTCTATACTACCCAAAGCCATCTATAGATTCAGTGTAATCCCTATGAAAATTCCAATGAAAATTTTTACAGAAACAAAAAACAATCCTAAAATTCCTATCGAACCACAAAAGACCCTGATTAATCAAATCAATCTTGAGAAAGAACAAAGCTGGAAGCATAACATGTCCTGATTCCAAACTATATCACAAAGCTGTAGTAATGAAAACAGTATGGCACTGGCATAAAAACAGACACATAGACCAATAAATCAGAATAGAGAGCTCTCAGAAATAAATCCACACACAAAAGCTGAACAAATATTTGACAAGGAACCAAGAATACTCAATGGGGAAAGAATAGTTTCTTCAATAAATGATGCTGGGGAAACTGGATATCCACATGCAAAGAATGAAACTGGATGCCTATCTTACACTTCTCACAAAAATTACCTTGAAATGGACTAAGGCCTTAAACACAGGAAATACCTAGAAGAAAACACTGAAAAAGCTCCTTGGCATCAGTCTTGGCAATAATTTTTTGGATATGACACCAAAAACACAAGCAACTAAAGCAAAAATCAACAAGTAAGCCTATATCAAACTAAAAAACTTCTGCACAGCAAAAGAAACAATCAACAAAATGAAAAGAAAAGGCAACCTAAGAAATATAAGGAACTCACACACCTCAATAGCAAAAAAAAGAAAATCCAATTTAAAAATGGGCAAAACCTCTTTTTCCAAAGAAGACATACATACAGTGGCCACCAAGTTTGAGTGCTCAGTATCAATAGTCAACAGGGAAATGCAAATCAAAACCACAATAAGATACCACCTCACACCTGTTAGAATGTCTATCATTAGAAAGACCAGAGATAACACATGCTGGAGAGGATGTGGAGAAATAGGAACCCTGGTACACTGTTGGTGGGAAATGTAAATTGAAACAGTCAATGGAAAACAGTGTGGAGATTCCTTTAAAAAATTAAAAACAGAACTACCATATGACCCAGCAATCCCACTTCTGAATATATATCTAAAGGAAATGAAATTACTACCTTGAAAAGATATCTGCACTCCCATGTTCAGTGCAGCATTATTCATAATAGCCAGGACATGGAAACAATCCAAGTGTCCATCAATGAATGAATAAAGAAAATGTATATATATATATATGCAATGGAATATATATATATATATATGTAATGGAATATAATTCAGCCATAAAAAAGAAGGAAGTCCTGCCATTTGTGACAAGATGGATGGCTTTTGAGGGCATTAAGCTAAGTGAAATAAGTCAGAGAAAGACAAATACCATATGATCTCACTATATGTGGAATCTAAAAACGTCAAACTCATAGAAACAGAGAATAGATTGATGGCTATCAGAGGCTGGAGATCAGAAGAAACGGTGAGATGCTGGACAAAGGGCACAAACTTTTAATTCTAAAATGAATAATTTCTGGGGATCTAATGTATAGTGTGAATTATAGTTAACAATACCGTATTGCATACTTGAAGGTTGCTGTGAGAGTAAATCTTAAGTGTTCTCACTGTAACAACAACAAAATAGTAATTATATGAGGTTAAGGATGCGTTACTTAACCTTATTGTGGTAAATAATTTGCAATACATAAGTGTATCTGATCATTACTTTGTACATCTTAAACTTACACAACGTTATATGTCATTTATATTTCAATAAAGTTGGGAAAAAAAAAGTCAATGATTTTTAACATTGCTTAGTATACTGTGTGTGTACTTACGTATATATCCAAAACTCATTATTTATATTATCTCTCAAATATTCCCAGTTATTTTAGTTGGTAATAACATGTTAAGATTACCTAATGTCATTGAATCAGGTTTCAAAAATTATAACTCCTGAACTTGATTTGTTAACCATCTCGAGAGGGCACATTGTGTAAATTGCTTAATCTGGAACTATTGAAAAACAGTCTATTTTATATACAGTAATATTAAGAAACATCAAAACAGAAAATATATGAAAAATTCCACATTATAATATTTAGCTTGATTTTGATTAAAATGTGCCTACTTTTTGTAGTTTAGAATAAAACCAGCCCAGCAGTTTTTATACTTTAAAAATTATAAAATTTACTCTAGGTGGCGTACTTCTATAAGATTGTAGAAGGAAAAGAATACAACTGAAAATTATTTTTTGTTACTTCTAATCAATGACTGTTAATTCAAAAATTAGTCTAATGATATTTGAGATTTGTTAATAGAAAATTAAGTTGCTAAGCTAAATTGGGATATAATTAACAGAAAATACTGTATTATGATTCTCTTTAGACTAGTAAATATTGTCTTGTGGGAAAAACTTTAGAGAAATCACATGCAGAAAAATGAAATATTTAGCAGTAACTCCCACCCCATGGGGAAAAAATATTGCATTTAACTATTTTTACATCTTTAAAACTTGTTTTTTAGAACTCCCTCTCATTCTAATATTCATTAAGATTGCATTTGTGCAAGCATCAGAGTTCTGACTCTTGGGTGCCATTTGTGACGCAACAATTTGTGATGCAAACATTTGCACCATGTCTATTTCCCAAAAGCCATTAGTTTTTTAAAATCAGCATATATATCATGTTACTTGAAGCTCTTTTTAGCGAGACAATTTTCTTCAATTGTTTTTATCTGGAACCACACAACTTTGATTCCCCTCACAAGAACTGTAGTCATATTTATTCCCGTAT